TGGGGCGCCTGGGTGGCTCAGTCATTAAGCGTCTGCCTTCGGCTCGGGTCATGATCCCAGGGTCCTGGGATCGAGCCCCGCAGTGGGCTCCCTGCTCTGCCGGAAGCCTGCTTCTCCCTCTCCCACTCCCCCTGCTTAGGTTCCCTCTCTCGCTGTGTCTCTCTCTCTGTCAAATAAATAAAATCTTAAAAAAAAAAAAGAAAAAATGTTAATGGCTTTATATAACATTTGATTTTGCTTTTTAAGGTTTTAGAAACACTTGTTTTTCCTTACAAACAATTGCAGTTTCCCCTTTGGTTCTATTTTTTTTTTTTTAATCCTTACTTTTTTTAACCCCCTTGGAAGATGCCCTGGCAGTTAAATAAGTGAAATCAGCATCCTTTCCTCCTTACCCAGAAGAAATAATTATTTATCTTAAGAATTCTGTAGACTATTGGTTTCTGAGTAAAACAGCCACAGGCAAAATAGGAACTCAGTCTTTTGTTTAATTTTTAAACAGTGTACACTATGAGTCTTATTTCTCCTCTAATTAAAAACACAGTGCATCACTCTAAGGAAAAATGAGCACAAAGTAGTGATCTATACCTACAAGTGGAATTAAGAAAATTGATGAGTATTCATAAGAGTATAAAATAAAGAAACAGTCTTTTCTTTTAAGTCATCTAGAAACACCATCTTTTAGAATTGGTACATTGGCAGGTTAGCTTCATTTTATATGTCATTATGATCAGTGATTTTGCTTTTGAGTCATTAAGGAATGTATTGGATGAATGTTTAAAGGCAGTGTTTTGAATGGTTTCATCAATATCAAGAATTATGCTAAGACTCTACTTACCTGAAACCAGCAAAGGAAAGTTATCATAACAGTGACATGCTTATCTTTGCATGTCCAAATGCTGACACTTGTTGGAAGTTTTCTTACATGAAGAGTTGTCTGCTTTAAATTAGTATAGTTCTAGTAAAGTCATTTCGGAGGTGGTGTTGGTTAATTTAATTCTTAAAGAAAAGACATGGGAATAAATAAAAGATAATATTTACATCTATAGTCCTTTTCTCCCTACCTCCCAAGATTTCCATGTGCACTTTCTGTCCGTTGTACATTTGTGCCTTGTAAAGAATTCTATTCTTTAGGACTGAGACGGTGTCTGAAATAGAAATTATTTGGCACTTAGAGAAACTTTTCTTCTAGTTTCTAAAGATGATTGGTCTTTCCATTTTCTTTCTTTCTTTTTTTTTTTTTTTAAGATTTTATTTATTTATTTGCCAGAGAGAAAGCGTGGGAGAGAGAGAGAGGGAGAGAACAAGCAGGGGGAGCGTCAGGCAGAGGGAGAAGCAGGCTCCCCGCTGAGCAAGGAGCCCAATGTGGGACTCGATCCCAGAATCTGGGATCATGACCTGAGCTGAAGGCAGATTCTTAACCCACTGAGCTGCCCAGGCATCCCTGATCTTTCCATTTTCATGTTATTCTAGCATATTTGCTTGTTAATAAACTATTAATGACTGCTTTCTCTAATCTTCCTTCTTTCCTTGGAAGGATCTAATTAGGCAAAGATGAAAGTATTAACTTGCATCTCTGAATACCTGGAATCAGAGCAAATACCAAATTCTGCTTACAAACACACATAGAGGATTTTACCTAGTGAACTGTGCCTGAATCAAAGCAAAGAGGACCTGAAACTCCTGTAACAAGAATTGAGGGTAGGTTATAGAAAGAGCCAAAGACTTAGTAAGCAAGGCAGACCAAAGCTAGGAAGAGTGAGCTTCTACAGAAATAGGTGAATTATGGAGGCAACTGTCCTCTGGAAATGGCTGATTTTTGTGCTTCTGGTAGCATGTACAAATAGCCTCTGTCCATATATAGGAGCTGAGGTGGAATGACTACCCTTCCTCTTCTCCCCCAGATCCCTGTACTTACGAAGTCTCTTGAGTTTAATGCAAACCTGACCCTCAGACTTGAATGATGTAGAGCCAGGAAGACCGTATGAAAGAGTTTAGTGGGTTGGCTATAAGAGAATAAGGGATCACGAGGACTGTGGCAAAATAAAGAACCAGTTCAGTCTAAAGCTCCAGCTGATTACTGCCATTAAGGAATGGGGGTTCATGTTGGTAGATTTTTCAGAGTTTTCAAGAGAAATGGAAATACAGTTTTTGGTGAAATTTCCTACATTTTAAAATATTTTTGTGAGTCAAGCAAAACTGGATTCTGCCTGTAGCATGCCACTGTGCTTCCTTTACTTCTACGCATCTCCTGTGCGTTCTCAACAGTTCCCATTCGTGTTCTTCTGAAATCTGTGTCTTCTAGCAAGCAGGTATGGGAGCTGATTGTGGCATCACTCCAAGTCCGTTTTCTCTCCATTATGTTTCCAAACTATATTGGATTGTTGTGGCATATCCCAGAGGCATGTGAAGTGGAGGATGGCCAGGAACAGTGGGGTATTTGATTTGGAAGACTGCAGACGAGTGGCCTCTGTTTCATTAAAGGTTCCTGGGTGGCTGTCCTCCTGGTTTGGGTAGATGGGTAATATGGTCATGTCAAAAAGACAACCAGGATCTCCCACTCACATATCCTCTACTGGTATTTACCACTGATCTGTAATCTGCTTGTGCTCTTTCTTGATAGACCAGATCTCTTCCAGACCAGATAATTTTTTCTAGATACTGTTTAGCTAACAGAAAACCAATGGGGGATACCAGAGACTAGAGATGTAGCTGGGATAGACAGCATAATTATAGCTTTCGGAGAAAATTATGGATTGATCATATCTATTCCCTATACATATTGATCCCTTCTAAAAGCCTCATGTGTAGAATTTGGAAACCATAAATATTTATAATTTTTTGTTTTTTAATTTACTTAAAATGCTTGTTAGTTATTTTTGCATGGGTAATGCATACACAAGATAGGCAAGAAGGAAGGAAGGGAGGAAGGAAAGAAGGAAGGAAGGAAGGAAGGAAAGAAAAAGAAAAAAAGAAAAGAAAGCCAATAAAGAAGAATATACAATGGAAAGTCAGGTCCTTTTCACCTCAGACCCTGCTTCCTCTTTGCTTCTCTGCAGGCACCCACTGTTTCCATTTCCTTTTATTATCCTTCTAGAGATATTCTGTACTTACACACACCATTGGAAACCATGAATATGTAGCAGGTTTTCTATAGTTGCGCTTGACATCTTAGCAATAGAAATGCAGTTGGGGAATTGAGAATATTGATTAGCCAGTAGGAGCTGATAGGTTAGAAAAAGAGAGAGGTGAGAGGAATCCAGGATTTTAAGGTCTGAATGAAGCCAGAGACTAAATTTGGAGACAGTAAGGGATGATAGGCAATTATATTTCAAAGATCTATAATTGAGATAATTAAACCTGGTATTGGTTTTAACTGACATCATATCATGTACGTGTTCATACTAAGTAGAGCAAAAATATTTAAGTTCATAGTATTGTAATGATTCACAAAGTGCATATTCAGTAAATATTAGTTGTCTTTAATACCCTGGGTATTAAAATTTAAGACTTCTAACTGCTCATCATGTTTCATTTAAGAAATAATCTACAATGCTGTTTGCAAGGTTTTTGTTCCATAGTCTTCTAGAAAAAAAATTCAGTACCATAGGCAGAAAAATCATGTTTCAGGTAATAGAGTATGTCACTGCATACAAATCCATTCTTACTTCGATCAAAAAAGAATATGATGCCTTTATTGAGACAATGAAGGAAGGCCAAAGAACTGCATTTTGTCTTCATGGAAAACTTAAAGCTTTGGCAGCAGAGCCCACAGCATTGGTGTATCACAGGAAAAGAACAATCCAACTTGAAACAAAGTAAGTATATTAGTAAGTAGCCCAAAAGGTGATAATTGTTACTTGGTTATATTACCTAGTTAATGTAACTATAAACAGTGGTTCTTAGCCCCCCAAATCCCAAGCATTGTAAATATTAAGAGATTCTCAACTAGATTTATCATAGTGAAATTGTCAAAGATAAGGAGATCCTAAAAGTAGTTATAGAAAGAAGCAACAATTCAATACCCTCCATTCGGTGTTGTAGCATATATCAGAATTTCTTTCCTTTTTGTGGTTGAATAATATTCCATTTTATGAATACACCACATTTTTATCTAATTATCTGTTGATGGATACTTGGGTTGTTTCTACCTCTGGGTGTTGTGAATAATGCCACTATGAACATTCATGTATAAGTATCTGAGTCCCTGCTTTCAATTCTTTTGGGAGTCCATTTACTTTTTTTTTTTTTTAAGATTTTATTTATTTATTTATTTAGAGAGAATGTGAGCAAGGGGAGAGGGAGAGAATGAATCTCAAACAGACTCCCATGCTGACTGCGGAGCCTGATATGGGCTCCATCCCTTGACCCTGAGATATGACCTGAGCCAAAATCAAGAATCGGGTACTTAACCAACTGAGCCATGCAGGCACACCAAAAGTCTGTTTACTTTTAACATGCTCTTCTTCCACAAGCATAAGTTTTTTGGATGAAAGCCAAAGGGTATTTTATTTCCACAGTCCCTCTTTCATAAATACTGCAGGCTCTTACTCAGCCATCTGTAGGTACCAGGAAATCTGTATAGTAATCAGATGTGGGTAGCCATTCTCTACTGACAAACTTGTTTTTAATTTGCTAGAAACTGACATTTATATATCTAATTTATTTTAATCTGTTATTTTCCTCCCAGGGCCAACGTATCAGTGATAAACTAGGCAGTGAACTTCAAATAATGCTTAAAAGAAATTTATATCTACCTCTCGGTCTTTAAGATCCCCATTTCTGGAATAAGACAGTTTTATCTCAAAGAGGTGCTATCCTTCTTGCAGCTCTAGGATTAAAATTACTATTGGAAGCTGAATAATGGCCTCAAAGATATTAGGTCCTAATCCTGGGAACCTGGGATTGTTACTTTATTTGGAAGAAGGGTCTTTACAGATGCTACTACGTTAAGGATCTTCAAATAGGGAGATTATCCTAGATTATCTAGGTGGGCCTTAAATACAATCACAAGTGTTCTTTTAAAGAGCTAGAAGGAGAGTTGACAGGCAGAAGCGGGGGAAGGCAATGTGGTCATGGAGGCAGAGATTGAAGTGATGTAGCCCCAGAAGGCCTGCAGCCCCCAGAAGCTGGAAGAGGCAAGGAATAGATTCTTCCCAAGAGCTTCTTTTTTTTTTTTAAGATGTTATTTATTTATTCTTGAGAGACAGAGAGAGAGAGAGAGAGAAGCAGAGGGAGAAGCAGGCTCCTGAGGAGCAGGGAGCCCGATGCGGGACTCGATCCCAGGACCCTGGGATCATGACCCCGGCCGAAGGCAGACGCTTAACCATCTGAGCCACCCAGGCGCCCTTCCCAAGAGCTTCTAAGAGGAAGCATAGCCCTTTGATTTTGGCCCAGTGATACTGATTGTGGATTTCTGATCTCTGGAACTATAGGAGAATAAATTTCTGTTGTTTTAAGCTACCAATACGTTTTTGGCAATTTGTTATAGCAGCCACAGGAAGCTGATATAACTACAAAAATAATTTTATTTGCAAAGGTAATTTTCAACTATAGGGAATAGACATAATACTTTGTGGCCAGATTATTATGTTTAACACGTACAAATTTCCAGTAAGGTTGTGAATCGTAGTGTAAGATTTTAATGATGCTCTGAAAGAAAACTGTTCCTCGCTTTTGAGGTTAGTTAACTTTTTACGGGCATTGTTTTGTAAACTTAACACCTAAGTCCATAATGGTTCAAAATGATAATTAGCCAAAATAAAGTAATGATTTAACCTGTTTTACTTTAAATCTTATGATTAAATAATTAACTAGTTGAAAGAAATATAAGAAAGCCTTTCTGTTTTTCAGAAAGAAGGTTATTGAAAATAATTCCTCAAAGATTCAATTGCTAATAGACAAAATGAAACAACTTAGGGCAGAATATGATGCAAAAGAAGTAAGATACCATACTTTCTCCAAAGATCCTTCAAAACCTATTCCAGGTACTGTATTTTGTTTAAAATGTTTGAAATTCCAACTGTTTTCAGTTATTACCAATCATACAAATTAGTATATATATGCTGCAATATGTATGTGTGCAAGTGTACGAGGACTTTAACCAGACTTCACAAACAACTTTAGCTCGGGCTCCAGGTTGATACAAGGGAATGAGACAACTTCAACAACCCTGAAAGACTGAGAGAGTTCCAGACTGGCTGGATTATATAAAGTATAAGGGAGTGACTATTAAAATTTGGTTCTTGCATCAGTGTCACGTTACCTGCAAACCTGTTAGAAATGCAAATTCTGGCCCCACTGCAGACTTATTGTGTCAAACTCCAGGGATGGGAGTTGGGGTGGGGGTGGGGTGGAGCTCAACAGTGTTTTAGCAAGGCCTTCAGGTAGTTCTAAAGTTTGAGAATCCCTGATATAATATATGAAAAAACTATAATGTATTAAGTTCTAGTGAATATTGTTGATTCACATTGATGTCAGCATTCACTGGTTCTTTATCTTCAGCTAAGCCATATTTTAAGAAATTGGAGTATATCCTAGAATTCGTGAGGATGTTGAGAGGTTTGTATGATGCATGGATAGAAGAACTGCAAATATTCATCTTGGAGAAAAGGGAGACTTTGAAAATAGCCAACTGTATTCAAAACTTTTAAGGATTTCAACCAGTTTTTATCCAGAGGTAGAATCAATAGGTGGAAATTTTAGAAAGTCAGTCAATAGAAGAAATTACGTCTTGAAAGTAACAAACTGCTGCATACCAGAGGATTTCACCTCAGGTTGGACGATCATCCTGCATTTGGTGGAAGCAGGGACTAGATTCGTTTTCAAATATAAAATTATGATAATACAACTACAAATAAGGTACATATGAATAAGTAGAGAATAAGTCAAATTGGTTAAATGCTGAGAGGATTCAGGGTAAGAGAATGATTAAAAATTGAGTAGGATTAATCCAGGCGGGTTTCTGGGAGAGAATTTTGATGCATGCCTTTAAAGCCAACAATTGGCCTGAATAAGGGAATCATTTCAAGTGGGTGTGAATGGGTTGTTATGAATAATGAATACAGGGGCAAGGAGGGAGAGAGGACTGAGGGCTTGGCAGGTTTTATAAACTTTGCACTGGAGAGAATAAACAGATTACCCTGGAGTTTGTTGTAGCAGATTAATGGAATCTTTGGTTAGAAATCTTGGGACAAAAATCCTGAATTGTTAGGCAGAAGCTCTTAGTGGTATTGAGTAACAGTGATATTTAAAGGTTTGCAAGGTGTGACAGTGAGGTCATTAAAACTTTTTAAGATGCAGGGGAGCCTGGGTGGCTGTCAGTTAAGCATCCGACTCTTGATTTCAAGATTTTACTTACTTACTTACTTATTGATTTATTTGACAGAGAGAACACAAGTGGGGGTGGGGGCAGCAGAAGGAGAGGGAGAAGCAGGCTCCCTGCACAGCAGGGAGCCCAATATGGGGCTCGATCCCAGGACCCTGGGATCAAATCATGACCTGAGCCGAAAGCAGGTGTTTAACCTACTGAGCCACCTAGGTAGCCTTCGACTCTTGATTTCATCTCAGGTCCTGATCTTAGGATCGTGAGATCAAGGCCCCACTTGGGCTCCATGCTCAGCTTCAAACTTAAAAAGTATATAATCAATCTTAAGATTGATTCTTAAGATTAAGATTCTGTCTCCCCCTTCCCTTCCCCAGCTTGTGCACCCCGCCCCGTCTCTCTCTCAAATATGAAAAACAAAAAGCTTAAAAAAACTTTTTAAGATGCTAAGTTTTGGACAATCAGCCTTCATTGATGATATGTTTAAAACTGCTACACATTTAAAATTGTGTGCCAATTCTTTTTATGTTCAGTAAGTTATAAGTTCATGCTACCATTTCTTAATTATTTCTTAACATAGCAAACTATGATCTATTTTGCTAAGACTTGCCATTTGAGCACAAGAGTCCCCAACATGGTTTCTCTTTTGACTTGTTCCCTTTTCTCTGTAGGCATGACTCTCCAAGAATCTGTCAATTTAGTTGCTCTCACTAAATACCTGAAACATCTTGAAGATAAATATGCTGAAATTAAACAGGCTATGTTGAAAAAATATGTACCAGTTCAGAGGAAGGCAGAGTTAGATGAGGAAATGATTGTAACATTAAAACGGAGAGATTTAGCTGAAAATCTGAACAAAGAATTACAGTTTCGGTATGAAAGTTGATTATATACTTTTTAAGTTTGAAGCTTTTATTTGTGTTTATTCTGTTACTCCACTATTTGATTTCAGGTTCAGTATACTGATTTTTTTTTCTTTGTAGTCATCAAAGACTGCAGATTATTTCAAATGCACTTACTTCATGGGTAAAATCTGATATGAGCAGCTCATTTGAAGACTTTGTGGAGCAAATTCAGAAAACTAAAAGTTTACCTGGTAATTTATCTATATTTTTTAATGAACACAAATAATGGAAAACATCGTTTTCCCCCCAGAAAGCTAAAGAGTGAGAATTTTCCTAGGCTGAGCTTAAAGAAATAAAAAATGTACTTACTTTTGTTATGTCTCTATTACCCAATGAGCTTCTTCCTTCAACAGCTAACAGATAATTGGTAAATAGTAGATGTGGTAAGCCAAAGAGAGAATACCTAAAAATGTACCTGAAAATACGGGAGACATGAACAGGGAGGCCACTCAGTTTAGGAAGAGGTTGGTGCTGTTAGAAACCATAGCATTAAGTTGCTGATTAATTAAACATATATATATTTATTATTTTCTGTTGATTGATAATCTTAAATATCCTGTGGTGCTTTCGGTAATTATAGGTGACGAAGGCATTGTTGAAGAACTGCTTGAAGACGATCCAGGCAAGGCAAAAGAAGCTGAAATTTTGCTTTGCTACATTGAAAGGCAAATATTTTAAAAGCTTTGATTTTCCTTGTTAAAATGTTACCACATTTATTTTTTATTTAAATATTAAGTAAATATTTAATATTTATAAATGTTTAGCATTTATTTAGCATCTTGATGAGCTACAGTCTCTAGATTTTGTATTTTTACAATTTTACTCTAGCAGACAAATTGGAAAATAAGCTAGAATTTAAAAAAAATAGATTCTTTGTGTGAAAAATATTAGATGGGTAGTCTAGGAGATTTTTCAGAGGATATAGGTGGCTCACAGTGTTGATTTAAGTTTTATTTATACATATATTTGCATTTCCTAGCCATTAGCCTGATGTTATGAAATGTTTTTGAGAAGGCCTTCTTGAGTCAGATTATCCTAACTAATTCAGTCATTTTTTTCTCATCATTTCTTCCTAATGTTTAAGTTACTATATGTAGTGTATAATAGAGGCTTACAGAGACCTCAGACTATTCTTTAAGAGGTTAATTTATAGGCTATGAGTCCAATATGTAAGGAGCATATGTAATATTCCTAGTCATATGTTAAACAATTTTTAATTGTGGATTATCTTACTGATATGGTACAAAGAGGGGCAAAGGTCATTTGGGGGCAGCGCCAAAGCCTGTGCTATTTCCTTACACTGTAGGCATCCCCACGTTTATCAGTGTTAGATATGAGAGCAAAACCCTTGTTGAAATTAAAAGTTTTATGTATTTTGCTTATTAGTATTATTTTGGTGTTTTTCCCCTCTAGGGTTTCAAATTCATTTGCAACACTGTAAATCCTGTTTGCCCTAGTTTTATTAATTGTGGGGTAAGGGCTGGTTTGAAGACATTTTGCCCTAGGAAGAGGCGTAGAGGCCTAAGTTAACTGAACTATTATTTTTTCTTCTTGTGTTACTCTCATAATTAATCAGGAGTCTGATGCCTGGCAGAGTAACATAGGCTTCTGAATACCAAGGACACCTCTTGATCTCCAATTCCGCGTTCTTGGTGTTTCGATTACTATTTCCCCTAGGCTGAGTCTCTAAGCAGATTGCTCTTCTTTCCCCTGATATCCCTTTTCATCTGCAGACGATATGAGAGAAAAAAATCTGAGCTTATTGTGAATTCAGTTCAAGTTCTTTCCATTTTCTATGTCTTGCAGTAAGTACTATAGGAATAAAGTACAGGGTAAGGTTCAAAGTCTTCTGTCAGGTGAGAGTTTTATTCTGAGGATACAAAAAATGACAGAATATTACAGAAAGAGTAAAAAAACATCTTAGTGAATGACTCTAGATATAGTTTTTCTATATTACTGTGTTTAGTCTGTTTTAGACATTTCTAATCAGTTTTCTTTTCTTTTTTATGTGTACTATTATAATGCATAATGAAATGGAATGGCTGTAGGTTCAATGACTTAATGTCACTTGGTGAATATGAAAAGGCAGCTTGTTTTGCAGCAAACAGTCCTAGAAGAATTCTTCAAAACATTGGGACAGTGAATAAATTTAAGGGTAAGCATTTTTCTCTGAACCTCATGTATGTATGCAAATTGTACTTTTTTCCCCTGATAGAATGGAAAGAGTACTGAAGTAGGAGACTAAAGATCTAGGCTCCAGCCCTATCTCTGCTGTTTACTCAGTTTCTTTAGCTGTCACATTGAGGAATTTGATTAGGTTTTCTACATTAAATGAGGAAATATTTCAAGTATACAGAAAAGTGTGGAGAAACGTACAACAACCATATACTCACTGTCAAGATTTAGTAAATGTTAATGTTTTGTCAAATTTGCTCCACTTCCTTTTAAAAAAGCTTTGTTGTAAGTTGACACACATGCAACGCAGTGTATGTATTTACACAATTTGGTAAGTTTTGACATTTGTATCACCCTAAAGTTCCTTCATTGCCCTCAGTGATCCTTCTCTCTGACTCCTCCTCACCCCTCCCATCTCCATCTCTCCCACAGCTTCCTCTCAGAGGTAACTGCTAGTCTGCTTGCAGTCACTGTAGATTAGTTTGCATTTCCTAGAATTTTACATAAATGGAATTACATAGTAAGTAATCTTTTTTGACTGACTTCTTGCACTCAGTATCATTATTTTGCAGTTCATCCATGTGTTGCATCTATCAATAGTTCATTCTTTTTTATTGTTGAGTAGTATTCTGTGGTATGAACACAAATCCTTTATCAGATATATGATTTAAAAATATTTTCTCCCAGTCTGTGGCCTGTCTGTTCATTCATACTCTTTGAAGTATCTTTCTAGGAGAAGTTTTAAATTTTGTTGAAGTCCAATTTGTGAATTTTTTTTTCTTTTATGGATCATGACTTTAATGTTATACATAAGAAATCTGTGTCTAATCTGCAGATTTTTAACTCCTATGATTATGATTATTATTTTTTGGTAAGAATTTTATAGTTTTAAGTTTACAGTTAGGTCTATGATTCAGTTTGAGTTAATTTTGCTATGTGGTGTGAGGTATGGGTTAAGGCATTTTTTTTGCCGGTAACTATCCAATTGTTTCATGATAATTTACTAAAAGGACTTTCTACACATAATTGCCTTTGTTGAAAATCAGTTGTCCTTATACTTTCAGGTCTAATCTGTTTCACTGATCTATTTGTTTATCTTGATGCTAATACTACACTGTCTTGATTATTGTTGCTTTATAGTAAGTGTTGAAATCAGAGTGTTAGACTTTAAACTCTGTTTTTCTTTATCAAATTTAATTTGGCTATTTTGAATCTTTCATATTTCTGTTTAAAATTTTAGAATCGGATTGTAAATTTCTATAAAAAATTCTGCTGGGGATTGCATTAAATCTATAGATAAATTTTAGGAGAATAGACACTGAACAATATTGGATATTTGGCCCAATGAACCCATAAACGTGGTCTATTTCTACATTTATTTGGGTCTTTAAAAATTTCTTTCAGCAGTGTTTTGTAGTTTTCAGTTTTCAGGTCTTTTTTTTAACATTGAAAAATTTAGTATTTTACTTAAAAATTTTCAGACATCTTACACATATCCAGGAACTCTTCCTTTGGATGTGTTCTGAAATTGGTGAAGTTAAAAGTGATATTAGTATATCCCTACGGTTTTTTTTTCTTCTCCCCTTGACTGGATCTGCTTAAAGTATGGATTACAAGTTTTAATAAAAGTCAAAGCTTGCAATTAAGGAATGCTTAAATAGGTATAATTACCAGCAAAATTGGAAAACAGCCAACTTTTATTACTTTTCTAGGTATATGGATCTTATACTGAGAAATTCACCAATATTAGACAGATGATACTTAATTGTTGAATAGAATAAAAAAAAGTCCTTTTATTTTAAAACTTGACTGTATTTTTAAAGGATGAGAAGCTCAGAAATAAATAGAGAGGTATAAATAAAGGAGGGATATACTCAGTGGAGCTTACAGATACAGATAATTTTTCTTATTATTTTCATTCCAAGTGGAAATTTTTGATGTCAAATATATACAGCCTGTTTTTCATTAATTTTTCCTCAAAAAACCCTTTAAATTCAACAGTTTGAAAAAAAATGTTCTTTTACATTTATTTGAACATGAAAAATTTGTTGCCATATACATAATGCATATGAACATATATATTTATAGAGATTGTTTGACTGTGAATTGTGTGTAAATGGCCCATTTCATATTTTTGCATGCACAATTTTCAGTATTCTATTCTAGTGGATGTAATGCAGAGTATATTCTTGTAGCTTTTATTTAGTGGACTCAAAGTCAAGAAGCCATTCCAATAATTATTTATAATTGGATAACTGACTATCAGGTCATGTTACCCTGTATACATACATCATGAGTAATGACACTGTACATTTTGAGTGTTAAACTGTTAACTTTTGTAAGTCTGAGATTTAAATTGGTATATATAAAAGTAGCCAAAGCCTAAAGAATGATGACAGAAGAGGTTTCTACCACAGAGCATTTATAGTTTCACAAGGGACACAGAGCAAAGAGAATTAAATGATTTTTAATCTGTGTTTAGGTCTTGTACATCTTTTGTCAGATTTATTTTTAAATATTTTATATTTATATTATTATAATTTTTATTTTGATTTCCAAAATTATTTGTTGGTAATATATAGAAATATAATTAACTATTATATATTGATCTTGTATTCTGTGACCTCTTTAAACTTGTTTATTAGTTCTAATACTTTTATTGTGTATTCCTAGAATTTCTACATAGCTAATCATGTCATCTGCTAAAAAAGGGTTCCACTTCTTCCTTTCCAAGCCTTATTGCAGTGGCTAGATCTTCCATTACAGTGTTGAATAGAAGTGATGAGAGCAGATATTATTGCCTTGTTTTGTTTTTGTTTTTAAAGATTTTATTTATTTATTCATGAGAGACAGAGAGAGAGGCAGAGGGAGAAGCAGGCTCCCAAGGAGCAGGGAGCCCGATGCGGGACTCGATCCCAGGACGCTGGGATCATGACCTGAGCTGACGGCAGACACTTAACCATCTGAGCCACCCAGGCGCCCTATTGCCTTGTTTTTGACCTTATTTTTCATCATTAAGAATGATATTAACTGTAGATTTTTCATAGATGCCCTTTATGAGGTTGATGAAATTGCCCTCCATAGTTGGTGAGAATTTTATCAGGGATGAATGTTAGATTTGTCAAATACCTTTTCTGCATTTATTGAGATGACCATGTGGTTTTTGTCCTTTAGCCTATTAATATAATTTATTGCTTTCCTGGGGAAAATTCCACAATTTTTATATTAATTTTACTATAATTACAGAGTTGTATAACCATTTCCATAACTTAATTTTAGAACATCTTCATCATTCCAGAAATAAACTTAGTACCCATTAATTCCTCATTCTCTACCCCCTGCTCCCTCTCTAGACCCTGGGTAACCACTAATCTACTTGCTATCTGTATAGATTTGCTTATTCTGGATTTTTCATATAAATGGGATCATATAATAAGTGTTTTTTTGTGACTGACTTCTTTTACTTAGCATGATCTTTTTGAGGTTCATTCATGCTGTAACATGAATATTCCATTGTATGGATGTATAATGCATTTTGTTCATCCATTTGTCAGTTGTTAATAATTTGGGTTGTTTTTACTTTTTGGCTGTTATGAATATTGCAGCTGTGGACAGTTGTGTACAAGTTTTTATGTGGACATACGTTTTTATTTCTCTTGGGTAGATCCCTAGGAGTGGAATTGCTGGGTTATATGGTAACTCTGTGTTAACACTTTGAGGAACTGCTAAACTGTTTGCACTATTTTTCATTCCCACCAGCAATATATGAGGATTCCAATTTCCTCACATCCTTACCAGCCCTTGTTAATGTCTGTCTTTTTGTTGTAGCCTTTCTAATCCATGTGAGGTGGTAATCTCATTGTGGATCAATTGATTTGTTTATTATTTTTTAAAAATTTTAATTCCACTATAATTAACATACAGTGTTATATATTAATTTCAGGTGTACAATATAATGATTCAACAATTCTATATATTACTCAGTGCTCATCAAGCTAAGTGTTCTCTCATTGTGGTTTTGATTTGTGTATCCCTAATGACTAACGGTGTTGAGCATCTTTTCATGTGCCTATTGGCCATTTGTATATCTTTGGAGAAATGTTTATTGTTTGCCCATTTTAAAATTATGTTATTTGTGTTTTTTTTATTGAGTTGTGAGAGTTCTTTTTATATCCTGGATAAAAGTCTCGTATCAGACAGATGATGTGCAAATATTTTCTTTTAATCTGTGGATTTTCTTTTCACTTTCTTTCTTTTTTTTCTTTCTTTCTTTTCTTTTCTTTTTTTTTTTTTTAGTAATCTATACATCCAAGGTGGGGCTCAAACTCATAATCCCAAGATCAAGAGTCACATGTTCTTCCAACTTAGTCAGCCAGGTACCCCTCTTTTCACTTTCTTGAAGGTGGGTTTTTTGGTTTTT